AAATTGTGCTGCTTACCTGAGATTGTTTTTAGGATAATTAACATGAGCGATACCTAAATCAGAGGACATGCACTCATACAAGACTGGCCCTCCTCTGATTCACTGCTCTCTAAGTCACTCCCAATGGAATGATGCTGATTCTTTTAACTCCTTTAATATTTCTTTTTAATTTTAAATACCTCAGGGCTGAATATTCTGTCCCTGCCCTTTGTCTAGGCCTCTGTCTCCAAGCCTCTGGTGGCATTGCTCTCTCAGGAGCTCTCTCCTTTCTGTCTTTCCCTCAGAGTTGCTCTGATCACAAACACTAGCCCTTCCCTCTGTCACTGTCTCAGCTGCAGCACTACTGACATGCTGGCCCAAGGAATTCTTTGTGGTGGGGGTTATCAAGTGCAATATGAGTAGCATCTCTGACCTCCAGCCACCAGATGTCAGTAGCACAGTCCTCCATCTATAGTGATGACAGTTCCAGATATTTCTACACCTTGGCATGGGTGAGCACCAGGGGTGAGGACCAGGGATGAGGACCAGGGATGAGGACCAGGGATAAGGGCCATGGGTGAGGACCAGGGGTCAGGACCAGGGGTGAGGGCCACTGAAGTAGGCCTTTCCCATTCTCTTCCCTTCAAGACTTTAAGGATCAAGTCAGTCCTCACCAAGAAGTAAAAACAACCTTGCCGAATCATTTAGGAGACTCTTCCTAGTATAAGATCATGAAAGTTTCCCAGGAGAGATGCCAGTGACCTGACATGGTTCAGATAAACCACACAGAGGTGTCAATGCTGCCTCTGAGTTCTCTGACACGAAGCAGGGTAAATATCAGCCAGTCATCACAGTAGCGCTACCTATCCAACTTATCACATGAAGAAAATCTAAATTCCTCACCAAAGAATTGTTCCTTAATTTGGCTAGTTTCCTGCAAAGCAAATACAAAACAACCCTCCCCTACAGAAACATAACCTGATTTTCGAGCAACACTTAGCAAAAATGCAGATAGGTCTTATACTATAATAAGCTCCCTACATATCTTGTATCATCAAAACCTTACATTAGCCTTGTGCTAAGAGCTTTATTGTATCCTGTTTAAAAAGGAAGAAATTATTACACAGAAAGAAAGGTTAAGGGACAATTGCAATGTGTCATAATGTCTGTGCGCCTGTACCACAACTTAAACTCAGGTCTGTCTGTTCACAAATGCCCATACGTACCCTTCACCACAAAACCACGTGCTATATAGCTCCCTGAATTATACTTTTAGTACAATATGAAGATGGTCTGTTTGTTTATCTCTCCCTTACATTTGATTGGAAGCATCTTGAGGCCAGGAACAGTGATTACGTACATTCCTGGTTCCTATCTTAAGTAAAGAAATGGAATGTCTTGATTTATTTTCATATACTAAGTTGACATATTTAGCACAAAGGTTAGACTTAGGAAAAAGTGGGTAGAATTATATCACCCACACTTGGTTCTCTAGCATTGAAATATGGCCCCATTGAAATATGGCCCCAATTTGTGGTTTAAGGAATACATGCAACAGTTGTATGGGAGAGCTTAGGCACTTACTCAGTGAAGTAGATCCAGCAAGAAGTATTTTCAGGACCCCACCTTTGGGGCTTCGGGAGCTGGGACACAATGACCAGGAGTAGACCCTGCCATCTTGAAGGCTGAATTTGTGTTTACTGAACATTGAAAAATTTGAGAAACTCACTAGAAACATGGCTGATGTATTTGAGAATGGGAATCACAGTCCCAAGCCTGACAAAATTTGAACTGGTATGTAATTAATTATACTGGAGTAAAATGAGTGCTGCCCTTGGTTCTTCATGTGGGACCATCCATGAGGCTCGGCAACTTTGTATTCCTCCACAACCGCACCAAGGAACTGGGCAAATGTAAACCCCTCACTGTCATCAAAACTGTTTCAGGATTTATTCCCAGTATTTAGGGAGTGGTTCCATCTCCCAAGGAAACAGAGTAGACTTCCTCCAAAGTTTAACAGCATCCTTGAGCATAAACTGGCCAGATTTCCAATCTCCTTTTCTTCATGTGCTCCTGAGGCTCCCTCCTGGGGTGGGGGGAGCACATATTATAACAATAGTCATGATTGCCTTATTTATTGGTTCCTCAAACCCTCTGATAATAAATCCATCAAATGTTCTCAAATGTTCATACAGCAAGTACAGAGTCTTCAGGAACAGCCTGGGGAGGGAGTGCAGTAGACCACAGTGGTGGACTATGGGTGCTTTGGAGGTGGTGACTGTAGCAACAACATCTGAAGGGGGGACCCTATACTTCTAAAATGCAAACAATGGTGTACACCAACGTCACCACTGCAAGAAAAAATATTTAAAAATATAATTTTCTGCTGCGATGAAGATAACTCCATGATGAAGGCTAAAAAGAAGGAAAATCAATCTGGATAGAAAGACACAGAGACACGCCAGGAGAGGTTCTTGAGAATACAGCACTTTCCAATATAAGAGTTGTTAAAAGGAGGAGCTACATGAGAAAGCAAAATTCTTACACCCTCTACTTTCCAAAAGCTGGCTGGGGATAGGTGTTTGCAGGAAGATAAAACTAACTGGAAAGAGGTCATCACAGGAGACTTGATGGTAGGTTCTCAACAGAAAGGCTGAGTTCTGTTGTGAGGATGTCTAAAGACTCTGGTATATATTTATGTGGCTAAAGGCAAATTACTAAAGGTTTTAAGCTAAGAAAAAGACACACTTATATTTTTTTCTTTTCCATGTCTCCTCAACATCTTTTTTTAAAGATTTATTTATTTATTTATTTTTACAAGAACTGAGGTACAGGTCAGATGTGCAGAAGGGTGAGAGGATTCACCAGAGACAGAGCAGGGAGCAGAACAGGCAGACTGACGAAATACACTGCTGAAGGGAGCAGCGGGCATGACAGGAGAGGTCTGCAGCACCGTGTGGGACCCTTGCCGGCTGGCTGGGATTGAACCGGTGCTGCAGAGGCTACGGACAGCTTCACGGCCCGGCGCTCAACCGCCTGTGCCACCAGGGAAGGCCCCTCTCCTCAACACTTTTTCCAAGCATGGAAAAGTAGAGTGACAGAATTTAAGTAGAATTTAAGTAGAGTGACAGAAAGTAGCAAAGGGATTTAACAGAACTGTGATGGTTGTCACAATAGGGAGACGCAATCTTGAAGCCATGCAATGGTGTCTATGAGAGTCACATTGAGGGTGAGCCCCAAAGGGGCACAGCATGAATGTTTCAGTGTCTTTGTCTGTGAGTACCAGCATGTACCGAGAAGAGACACCTGCTTCACATTCAGTGGCCCCTTGTTGGAGAAATTTGCTTCAAAATATTCCCCAACACTAATCTTTAGTGGGCCCTTCACTTATCTTGCTCCTTAAAATATCACCTGCCACCAAACAACCTAACCTGGCAAGGCTGCTTCTGATGAAAAGTGATTGTCTTCAAACAAGAAACTCATGTTTCCCTGGCCTGCCTCCCTCTTCCCCTCCCTTGCTTCCCACCTCTCCTTTTGTAAATGACCTTCTTTTCTGCAATCAGCTAGGTAATAGTAGAGTAAATATTTCCAAATGGTGTCAACAGCACGCCAAGAGAGCTCTGAAATGAACTTGCCAGGTGGTGGCTGCTAGCATATGGCTCCTGTTTGAACCTGGCACAGCTTGCCAAATTCAATTTTAAAATTATGTCTCACTTTTAAAAAATTCACTGAAAACATAACAGACCAGTTTTTAAAGCCAAACTTTGAAACTAGGTATATGGCGTGAGCATGGTGTGGTTGGAAAGACATGAGGTGCAGTGTTGCATGCCAATGATGCTTGTGGAGGGGCTGCTCCTGGGCCCAAGTTTCTTTCTCTGAAGAAGACACTCTGAAAGAATAGTCTAGCCCACTCTGACCTCTTGTCTGCTAAGGTATACTATTGTGCAGGGATATAGAGAGGATAGAAAGACCAAGTAAAAATACATTTAAAAAATCCTTGATTCAGGCCTCCCCGGTGGCACAAGGGGTTAAGTCTCAGCACTGTGAAGCAATCCGCAGCTACTGCAGCACAAGTTCGATCCCCGGCCATGGAGCTGACCCACATGGCACGGCAGACCTCTCCTCTCTCCCCACTGCTGCCCTCAGCAGTGTATTATAGTAGCTGCACCTGTTCTGCTCCCCACTCTGTCTGTGGTGAATCCTCTCACCACCCTGCACCTCTGGCCTATACCAGCTCTTGTATGTTTAAATAAATAAAATAAATCTTTAAAAAAATCCTTGATTCAAATAGTATATTGATGAACTCAGAAGTATTTTTACGTGGTTTTAAATATCTTGTCATTTTGTAACATACATTTTTACCACCTAATAGTCATCAAAATGTCCCCCCAAAATATGTGTAAATAACATCTTCCTGTTAATCACCAGGATCCATCACTAAAACAGTAAAAATCCTATCAAGTGATGTCGTTCGGATGATTTCATGGTGGTGCAGGTGTTTACTAAAGAGAAATGTCCATCAGACACAGATTAGTAAACAAGCATGGAATTGGCTACTATAGGACAAGAGATTAGAATAATAAAAAATAACATGATGTTCTAAAAAAAAAAAAAAAAAACCCCAAAAAAAACCAAAACCCTGCTGTTTTGAGCAGCCCATATTCCTGAGTACATTAAGCTGCATTTTATACCTTAGTAATGATATGGATATTTTTCTGTTCTTCACTGGAACCTTAATTTTCTGATCCAAACACCGCCAGTTACATGGTAATTAATCTTTGAACTTTTTGATGACTTCAAGTATTATTAAGCAGTAATTTGCAGAACCATTTCATTACCAGGTAATGATTAGTTTTATATGCAATTCCCTTGCACTTTCAGCTAAGAATTTCAAAATGGTTTATAGATAGATTCAAGATGAAGATGTGGGTGCTTCATGTTATTTGTTTTTTATGTTTATTTTTTGTCCAAAGTCAACAAAAATAAAGGTGAAGGTCAAAGTATTTATTCTATTTCCCCAGCTGTCTGCAGCCTGCAGGATCCCCCTGGAGCAAGAATCCTAGAGCCTTGCTAATGCAATCATGCCGGTCACCATTTTTTCCTGATGAACTGCTCTGAAAACACGTGAGAAAAGAGAATTAAGAATCCTTGTTTGTGGAATGGCTGAGTACCTGAAATAGTGCAATGTAAGGAGAGAATGTCATCTTCTGTGCAATTGCTTAGTCTGGATCAGTCTCTAAACCAATACCTCTTTGTCTTCCTCTCTACTGCCCATTTCTATGTGCTCATGCATTGTCAAAGAGAACAAAGATAGATCATTCAACACGGGTGGCGGGGGGAGAGGGGATTCTAAGGATTTCTGCCCATAACAAGAGGCCCTTAAAAGTTATAATTGCGGGCCTCCCTGGTGGCACAAGGAGTTAAGGCACAACCTATGAAGCTGTGCGCAGCCACTGCAGCACGAGTTCGATCCCCGGCCAGCCAGGGAGCTACCCACATGGCGTGGCAGATCTCTCCTGACTCTCCCGCTGCTCCCCTCAGCAGTGTATTTGAGTAGATCTGCTTGTTCTGTTCCCCACTCTGTCTCTTGTGAATCCACTCACCCCCCACACCTCTGGCCTGTACCCCAGTTCTTGTATGCATAAATAAGAAAAAAATCTTAGAAAAAAATGAAGTTATAATTGCATTCAGAGGCACATTCTGATGCTAACTGAAGGAACCAGAGAGAACATTCAGACTAGATAGGACTCTGAATCCAGTGTGGCTGCTAGCTCACATTCAGAAGGGATACCTAGAAAAAATTACTTAGAACAAAACAATAAGCAAAAATAAGTCACAACCATGGGCTCCCTGGTCTCCTAACTGCTATTTCTTCCAACTGTCTAGCAAATATGAGACTCTAGATATCCCAGCCCAGTGGTCTAAGGGTTCACCTTCGATATCTAGATAAGCTACCCAGCACCTAATAAACTGGTCTCTCAGTTTTCCAAGGGCTCAATTGGAATAAAAATTATTTGTTTCATCTGGTTATTGCAGGAATGCAGTGGCATGTAAATCATACAAGTTACTGCTATTACAGAGTAGTGATGCGTTCAGTGGATGGTAATTAATGTTAGTAGCCAAGCAAAGCAGGGTCTTCTTGGTTAAAATTTCTAGGGATCGAGGATTCTCCTGGGATGAGAAAATGAGGCAGTCTCAGCAGCTCATGGGATTTGTTTGCACAAGCTTCAGAGAGCGGTTCAGGTTTACAGACATTGTAGATGGACTCACTGACCTCTGCACCCACAATAGCGCAGTCTGCATTCCGGTTCACTTAGTTGGGAGCCAAGGTCAACCTTCCCTGACCCCTCGCACTGAGGACCTAGGAAGGGTCTGGCTCGCCAGCAGGCACTCGCACCAGCATGCGGAAGGCAGAAGCAGACGTGGGGAAGGCCTGGCTGTCTGGCTTTTCTGATAAGGGTTCCAGGCAGTTCTCTGCTCTGCAGACATTGCAGAAGTTCCATTTTGCATTTGGCAGAGGGGTCCACACAGCAAGGGCCTGGGGGCCTCGGGTGAGCATTCTCCCAATGCAGCTGGCACCACTCCGGACCTCTGTGCTCATGACCTGGAAGCACCCAGGCTTGAACCTCCAAGGAATTTCATAGAATAACGAGTTGCCACTAATCTCTTTCTGCTTCAACTAAAACCCTGACTGATATAGTCACAGAATATTGTTGGACAAAAAGATCATATAAAAATAATAAATAAGTAAGAAGCATTGCTCCCATCCGACGTGTGACCTTGTCCACCCTGCTTTTGCTACAGGTAGGTTGGGATTTTGTCCTGGTCCATTTGATCCTTCCCCTTTTTTTTTTTTAAATATTTATTTATTTATTTATACAAGCACTGGGTACAGTCAGAAGCGCGGGAGGGTGAGAGGATTCACCAGAGCCAGAGCGGGGAGCAGAACAGGCAGACTGACGAAATACACTGCCGAGGGGAGCAGTGGGTGTGGCAGGAGAGGTCTGCACACCATGTGGGACCCTCGCTGGTAGCCAGGGATTGAACTGGCACTGTGGAGGCTGTGGGCAGCTTCGCAGTCCAGCGCTCAACCGCTGTGCCACCAGGGGAGGCCCTGATCCTTCCCCTTCTGCTGCTTCAACATGATGCAAAACTCTAAGGTCAAGGATGTTAGAAGTGCACCTGTTCTTTTTTTTTTTTTCTTTGTTCCTACAGACACTCAGCCATAGAGGGGGTCATTGTCCTGACCCATATCAACTGATTCACTGGGAGGATCACTCAGAAACCTGAATCGGTTGAGCAAAAGGAAGAGATTATTAGGTGGACCCATCAGTGATCAGCAATTGCCTGGTGCGTCTTTTATTTCCAGTGGGCACGTTGAGATGCCAGCAGGATAACAGGCCTCTGGCATGAGTAAGACAAAGGAGGGAAAGAAGAGGAGAGATAATCCTGACTTTTTTTTTAATGACTCTGCTTTTCTCTTTCAACCCGAGGATTTCAAGACTCTCCTGGACACCACAAGTTGGTCTGTAAAAAGCAACCTGCCCCCTGGGATCTGCCAGGGATAGTCAGCATTGGCGTGTTTGCCTCCAAAAGGCCAATTTAAGAGGCCTTCTTGATGGGACAAGCAGCCTTTTCAGAGGCCTGTGCTATGTGTCTGGCACTGGACCAGAAGCTAGAAGTATTCCATGTAAGCTCACCTTCAAACAGGCCTGCAGAGTAAGGATCAGCACATGTGCTTAGCGGCGAGGAAGCTCAGAGAGTGTCCTGTGACCTCCCTGCAAGCTCATGCCTCAAAGATGTTTGAATTTGAACTCAAAGCTCTGATGCTCAGGCTGTGTCATGTGACCCTGTGGGCAACACAGCTGCCAGCCCTCAATAGCCCACCTGCACTGACACTAGGAGATGCATTGATTGTGAGAAAGCCCTAGAAAGCATTAACTTGCTGACCTATAAAACAGGACTTGAGCATTTTTCTGTGTAAAGAGCCAAGTGCTTGATAATGTAGGTTTTGTGGACCCCAGAGTCTTTGATGCAACCACTGAACTCAGCCTGGTGGCAGGAAGCAGTCTTAGACAATTTGTAAATGAATGGGTGTGGCTATGTGCCAATAAAACTTTATTTATAAAAGACAGGCAAAGGGCAAGGTGTATAGGAAGGCTACTGATTTTTGTGTGTTGATTTTGTATCCTGCCACTTTACTAAACTGATTGATTAGTTTTAATTTGTAGTTTTGGGGGTCCTCTATGTATATTATCATATCATCTGCGAACAGCGATAGTTTAACTTCTTCCTTCCCTATTTGGATTCCTTGTATGTCTTTCTCTTGTCTTATTGCTCTGGCTAGGACTTTCAGTATTTTATTGAAAAGCAGTGGTGGGAGTGGACATCCTTCTCTTGTTCCAGATCTTAATGGAAATGCTTTCAGCTTTTCACCATTGAGAATGATGTTGGCTGTGGGCTTGTCATATATGGCCTTTATGATGTTGTTTTTTCAGTTTCTATTTCATTTATTTCTGCTTTGATTTTTATTATTTTCTTTCTTTTACTGGTTTTAGGGTATTTTTGTTGTTCTTTTTCTAGTTCTTTGAGATGTGAGATAAGGTTGTTTCTTTGAATTCTTTCTTGTTTCTTGATGTGAGCCTGTATTGCTATATATTTTCCTCTTATTACTGCTTTTGCTGCATCCCATACATTTAGGAAATTGGTGTCCTACTTGTCATTCAACTCAAAGTATTTTTTAATTTCTTCTTTGACCTCCTCATTAGTCCAGTGGTCTTCCAGTAGTGTGGGTTTCAGTCTCCATGAGGTAGGAGGGCTCCTTGCCTTCTCTTTATGGTTTATTTGTAGTTTGTGTCTTCATGGTCAGAGAAGATGGTTGGTATGACTTCAATCTTGTGTATCTGTTGATGTTTGGCTTGTGTCCCAGTATGTGATTGATCCTGGAGAATGATCTGTGTGCACTTGAGAAAAATGTGTACTCAGATTTTTTGGGGTTTAGTATTCTATAGCTGTCTTGTTAAGTCCATGAGCTCTAGATCCTTATTTAGAGCTTTAGTATCCTTACTTATTTTTTGTCGCATTGATCTATCCATTGTTGACAGTGGTGTGTTGAAGTCTCCTACTCCATATGTATTTTCTCTGATGTCTGTTTTCAGAGATGATAATAGTTGTCTGATATATTTTGGTGCTCCTTCATTTGGTGAGTATATGTTAATGAGTGTTAAGTCTTCTTGATCATAATGTAGTGACCATCTGGGTCTCTTTTTACCTTTTTGAGTTTACAATCTGTTTTTTAAGATTTATTTATTTATTTATACAAAAACCAGGGCACAGGCCAGTTGTGCGAGAGGGTGAGAGGATTCACCAGAGACAAAGTAGGGAGCAGAACAGGCAGACTGACAAAATACACTGCTGAGGGGAGCAGCGGGCAAGACAGGAGGGGTCTGCCATGCCATGTGGGACCCTCGCCAGCCGGCTGGGATGGAATCAGTGCTACAGAGGCTGTGGACAGCTTCATAGCATGGCGCTCAACCACCTGCGCCACCAGGGGAGGCCCTGCAACTGTTTTATCTGATGTAAGAATACCTGTTTCTGCTTTTTTGGTCCATTTGCTTGTAGGATTGTTTTCCATACTTTTACTTTCAGTCTATTTTTATCTTTTGTAGTTAAATGTGTTTCCTGCAGAAACACATTGGGTTGGGTTTTGTTCCTTAATCCAGCCTGTGACTCTGTATCTTTTTATTGAAGAGTTTAGTCTATTTACATTTAAAGTTAATATTGATATGTTAGCATCTGTATTTGCCATTTTGTTTGTCTTTTCTCTGGTTTTATTATTAAATTTTTTTTGTCTTGTTTCATTCTTATTCATCCCTCTGTTGGTTCTGGCTTTAGTACTCCTTGCAGTATTTTTTGAAGTGGGGGTTTAGTAGTAATGAAATTCCGTAGTTTCTGTTTTTCTGGGAAGGTCTTTATTCTTTCTCCATAGAGGAAGGAGAGCTTTGCGGAATATTCTTAGTTGGCATTTGTTGTCTTGGAGTCTGTTGACTATGTCCCTCCACTCTCTCCTTGCCCGTAGTGTTTCTTTGGAGGTCTGATGTCAGCCTGATTGGTTTTCCTTTGTGTGTTATCTGTTTCTTCCCTCTTGTCAGCTTCATTATTTTGTCCTTGCCTTGGATTCTTGGGAGCTTTACTATTATGTGTC